GTTTATATCACATAGAATGTTTACAATTTATTCAGACTTGCAATTGTGCTTTGTTGATGAGTACTAGGTAATATAAACCTTAAGCTCAGAGCCTCATAAGTATAGCATACAGTGACTTAAAATCTAAATGTCATGCCTAATTTTACACATAATGGTTCAATGCTTATTTATTAACGGAATTCTATGCGATTATTTTATAAGAAATTATTGAAGAGTTTTTATTTTAATGAACTCTGTACGTTGTATTTCAGATCATTCATAAGCAAACATGTTGATCATAATTATTTAGTGAACTCCCAAACATGTGATACTTATACCTACCAGCTTTTACTCTAATCCAATGGTGATATGAAAACACTTTGAATTTCACATTACAAGATGAAATGATCGTAAACAGAAATTGTATAATTAAAAATAATTTAAACTAATTAAACTATTTTCTTTCCAATTGACAAACAATTATATTTCAATGTCAAGGTACCTTATTGTGTTATATTTCATCCGCGAATGAAATGTTGTACAGTATAAAATTGATTGACAAAATATTTCATTCCATAGTTTTAACATATTAGATGTAATAGTTAAGAACAAAATATATACAAATGTTAATTGAGATTTTTTCACAGTTGAAATCATGAGTCAATTGACGCTAGACCACCAAGTAAAACCTGGAAGCAGTGGACGGCCGTTTCGTCCTATTATGGGACTCTTCAGCAGTGCGCATCCCCGACTCCATCTCGCGAGATTGGAACTCAGGACCTACTAGTCTCGCGCCAGAGCGCTTAACCATTAGACCACTGAGCCGGCATCCGATGTCAAGGCGGGATCGTGAATGCGCACTGCTGAGAAGTCCCACCATAGGACGAAACGACCATCCACTGCTTCCAAGTTTTCCATGGTGGTCTAGCTTCAATTGACTCATGATTTCAACTTTGAAAAATACGGGAATCTCCACAAAACCCCTTTTGGTTAACTGAAATTCAAATAAGTATCTACGTATTTGTTGAATTTCTGTATTCTATATAACATACTGACTAACTTGTTTTAGAAAGATTATTTTCTACGGAATGGGGGTTACTGACCACATGCTCAACCCTTCTCCTTTATCGAACTTGGGACCGGCGGTAAACCTAGAAAAGCTACGGACGGAGTTGGGTGGGGAATGATAGTGGGCGGCCTATGCTCCTCTACCAGGGGTAACAGGTGTAAGTAAGTATATAATATGCTGGTCACATATTACAAAAAATAAACAGACAGATTCTCTTGATGAATATGGCACTCTAAAAAACCGTGTACATAAAGAATTGTAGACAATCACTGGCAATAATATATGAACAGTATGAGAAAAACAAATTCCAGTTCACTATAAACTGTTGACAACTGCGGAATAAATGTGTGGGATGCTTTTTATGAAAATAATTCATTATATGAAATACATAAGATAAATCTATAAAATTGTATCTAGTGAAGTGATGTTTGTAAACTGGTACAAATACTTTCTAACGAAATGTATTGTTGATGGGTAGATTTTTAGAAATTAATCTGTAAAAGATATTTCTAATCCAGCTGTTATATCTTTAAATTTATTTTTCTGTATCCAAGCTCTATTTAGTAAAGCGTATAATCGTTTAACAGCTACTGACTCATAGCATGGGATATGAGATGTGACGTGCTTTTATCCATTACGCATTGGGAATAAAGTTTATAAAGTAATGGGGTAGTTATAAAAATCACTGTTATAAAGAACGGAAAATAACCAGTAATAGCCAATATAAGTTACAGTTTCTTTTAAATTCAATAAAATAATGTTACATATTGAAATTTCTAATCGGCAAACATAATATTTAGTCTCTCTAAGGAGTAAAGTTACAGTCAATGTAAATGCCTTACATTATGCTAATGAAGATGAGTAGAATAATAAATGTTACGGAAGAAGTGTGTGGTAAAGTGGATCAAAATTTATTTTTGAAAGTTCTAAGGGAAAATTACTAAAACACATGGATGCACCTTTTTAGAGAACGAAAATCAATGTCATAGTTAAGTGATAACAAAAAAAATCGGATGGATTTGGAGAATCCAATGAGTTGTGCTTAGATGAAGAGAATTTATGACTGAGAAAATGAAATAAAATGTTACGTAATTGGATTATGAAGAACGAGATTTATCAATACAATGAGAAATTTACAACTGTGAACTTTTGAATATATAGATTGGTTTACAGATTTTTCATAGTGGTGATCTCGCCTAAATGTAGTAAATTCAAAGTTGTTTGATAAGTGATCATATTGAACGATTTTAAAACACCGACATTGTGTCCACTGTCAAGTGACGAACAACAGTGTTGTATAAAATATATTAATCTTTTGATCTCAATCTTTTTAGGAATGTGCTCCAAAATGTGAACATGAACATTCCTTTCTGTTCTACTTAAGTGCTTTGGCAATATTAGGTGGGATTTATAATGAATGTGTTTCATCGTGATATTTATGTTTGGAAGAAAAGTATTGGATGCATTTTTTGAAGATTTTTGGAACATTACATAAATTGGCACTGAAACTTTACTTTTCTGTAAAAAGAAACTGATATTTCATTATGAAAATTGAATATTCTTCTACAAACATTCTGCATGTATGGAATTCATATTTACAGGAGATATGAAATCTATTTTGAATTATGAATTCGCTTTATTAGTACAGAACAACGAATATCATAGACGGGTTGCCTACATCAACGTCATAACAAAACCAAAGTCAATGATTTTGAATTCTGTAATGAGAATTAACAGACTTTCTAAAGAATGAATAAATAGTAAAATATTGTATTTATATTTATCGATGTATCAAAGTAATTTTCATTAGGTTACTAATAAGAAAATATAAAAACGATTTGAGTAATAATAATTAGACGACTGTGAGGAATTCATCTTTTTCATTACACTTATCAAGGTTGTATGGTTGATTCAAAGCAAGTTATTTACATCATCAACAATTAGTTCTATAAGTCCGAAATATTTCCCAGTAAATCTGTAATAGACTGTAGTTATTAATCTATCAAAGTTCATAGTTGAAAGAATTCACTAGTTAGATCTATGAAGTGTAATTCGTGATCTTAACTTTATGTGAATATTTCATGTTCTTTGTAAACATTAGTATAATTCCCAAGAACAACTATACATTATCTCAATAAAATGTATTTGTTATTAATTTTCATTATTAAGTGATTCGTAATAATTTACATGAATATCTTTTTCGATCAATGAAAAATCAATCACATTCCTGGTATTTCTGTACATCACATTCTGATAACTATTACATATCATTGATTTCGGCAATAATCTTTAATTCACTTGATATTGTTTACTTGTATCTTCCCATTGTTATTTAGGACTGCCATTGATTAGTTTCTTATTGGCATATGTGCATACTATGCAGACTGCCTCGATATTGCCTGGAGTCACAAGCTTTATAAGCAAAGATGGATAGTGGTTAGCAGTGGAATTTAGGGAGCGCATTTTGTTCTATATTGAGGCAATATATGCACATATGCCAATAAGAAACTGATCAATTGCAATCCAAAATAACAATGGGAAGATACAAGTAAACAACACTAGGTGAATTTCAACTTCACCCCATTGCACAAGCAAGTGGCTATCAGGACTCAGTAGCTAGGTGGATAACACGATGGCGTTTGAAGCGAATGGTAATAGGTTCGAGTCCCAGAGTGAACATGAACTCTGAGATGCAAGTACATCCAGCTGACGAGTCCCAAATAGGACGGAATGCGCATCCTGGATTTCAGTGCTAGCCAATATCCATCTTTGCTTATAATTTGATATTATAGTATAATTTTTGTAATATTATATCAAATCAGAGGGAGTCCTGAGACTAATTAAACTCACATTCCTGCTGTTTTACTAAGTTTAATTGAGATCTTTTCCCCCAGAAATTCTAGCAATTTCTACTCTGATTTAAACTTATCATTATCTCGACTAAACTATTTCAACTCTATACTAGTGAGTAATACAGATTTCCATTACGAAATGATTTGTACATTTCTTAAACAATAACGAGAGGGTGAATGTAAAAAATTCTAAAACTTAATATTCATTTTATATTGTATACACCAGAATCTACTGAAATATCTTATTTCATAGTTGAAATCATGAGTCAATCGAAAACCTGGAAGCACTGGACGGCCGTTTCGTCCTATTGCGAGACTCCTCAGCGGTGCGCATCCACGATCTCGCCTCGCGAGATTCGAACCCAGGACCTACCAGAACACTTAACCGATAGACCACTGAACCGGCATACGATGGTGTTAATATGTAACTTTAACCAATCCAAAAAGCTGAGCAATCGTTCACCGATTGTCTTCGGTGAGTTCTTATCTCACAACAGACGTAGTTGATCTCAACTGGTCACTGCTTATCACTAGAACTCCAGGAAATATCTCTTGAAGTCAGTTACTAGTGAGCATATGATTTGAAATATCTTTTCTAAAATAATATCACTTTGAAATAAATCAATTTAAAGTCATCTTTTAACAAACGTATACATATTTGTAACCATGCACTTTAACATAGTTTCATTTTAAATAATCAATATGATCTATAACATGTTTCAAATATCATAGCAAGTAACATTCTAACAATACCTTCACATTAACATACACTATATAGAGGTGAATAAGAAGATTCTGATAAACAGTAATATTCATACTGACTAATCAGTGTTTTGGATTTCATTGTTCATTGGTTAACAATGAGTATGTATATAATCATTGCAAACAATATTGTTCTTTATTAAGTCTATAATACAATCCTATTATATATTGTAAATAATACATCAAGTATATGTAGATATAGGTAAATATGTATATACTTGTGTCTATATACTCATTTATGTATGTTCATGTACTCAAATAGTTGACTTTTCAAATATGATACTAAACATATAAACAATGAATGTACTTGATTCCTTTTTTTTTGGTTTTCTCTTCAAATATATATATATATATATATAAATATATATTTATTTATTTATAGTGTATGATTAAGGTTACTTTTTCTTTTGTCTATTGATTATACAGTGAACATTTACTCTTTTTTCTCTCTCAAGATTCAATTTCATTCCTATTCTTCTTCTTTTCCTTTTTTTCTAAAAAAAAACAAAACAAAAAACAATAGTACACACATAATTAAAATATGTCTTTTGGTAAAGCTGTTGTAAAAAATGCTGATATGGAACCAGTTATGCAAGAAGATGCTGTACAAATAGCTGCAGTAGCTAGAGAAAAATATGAAGTAGACAAAGATATTGCAACATATATTAAACAACATTTTGATAGAAAATATGGTAGAACATGGCATTGTATAGTTGGTAAACAATATGGAAGGTAAATATTTTATTAAATAATGATTTAATTAAATAATTTAATTAATTAATTAACTGAATGCTTGGTTTAAACAATATTATCTATTATATATTATAAGATAGTTCGTCATTGATGGAAGTATCTTTACAGAAAGGAATTCTGTTGTGACTGAGGAATTCATTTCTAGTGATATAATGAATTATGCCAGTTATTTGATATGATGCTAAACTATTCGAGTTTTTTTGGCGGCCTGTTTAAACATCTGGGCTACCTGTTCCTGTCATCTAGATATTTCAACAAGTTATCTAATTTTGTTTGTTTTGATACATCATTATGCCTATTAATCGCACAACCTATTCAGGCTCGTTTCTGAAAAGTAGATATCGTGTTTGCTGGCAATATGCAGCGAGAAGAATGTACATTATCCAGATGTCGATTGACTGGACTGCTAACTTCTAACCGGCGATTACTCAATATTTATCGTCGGGAAGGACGAAGAAGTAAGAAACGGAAACTTGTTGAAGTACTTTGTGCTGAGAATTCCATATTGTACCAAAAATATAATATTGAATAAAGCTAATGATAATAAATAAATAAATCAGTAGTATATAAAGATGGATATAATTTATCTGATAGTAAATTCACAAGTTTTAAGGATCGAAAGTTTTTTCATTGGAACTGTGTAGCTTTGATTGATGACAATGAGTTTATTTATAACAATATTAAATTAATTTCTTGGTTATGAAACTTAAGCTCTAGAATGTTTTAAACAAATTTATGCAAGTGATAATCTCTGTGACACAGTGGTACAGTAAGTTCATCGCTTATAGCTCACATTTTTATAAATATTTCAATAGATTTAGATTAAATGTAAAAACTAATATCAGAATATCAGATTATAACCTGAAAAAAAGTTTAGTTGATAACATTGGTTGCTTGGTAACATTGAATAACTTTCATGATAATAAATACCATTTTCGCTAATTGAATGGAATTGAATATTTTCAATAGTTATTCAATGACAAGAGTTATCTTTTAGCCAAGTATGAGTTTTTAATGTGGTTTTTTTTAAACCGAATCAGTCATTTATAAATGTCGAAGGATTTTAATACAAGGTTTTGATTAGTTTTTAGTAGATAGTTCTTTGGCTTCTGGTAACTAACACTTTTGTTTACATAAGTATATATTTTAGTCTCATAGCCCCAAGCAATTTTGTCCTAATTAAATAGTAAGGTTTTTTCTTCATTCTTTATTGTGAACTTTGTATAATACTCTACTCACTCAATTTCTCATAAGTCTTTCTCTTTTTTAAACCGTACTGCGATATATCAAGAGCTGATTAAAAAAGTCACCATGCTAAATATAATAATTGATCGATGATCGCAATCCTTTACTATATTACGTAAAGAAGAGATAGATACCAAGTTACATGTCTTTTGATTATCAAAGGACTCATTATGTTATTTACTTAGATATCCACATATGAATATTTCCAAAATACGTCTTCGTTGAAAATGAGAATTTTTTAAAATCCAAACTTTAACGTTATCTCATGACTTTTTATACACTTTTATTCAGAGCAAACTTAGTTCATCATTACTTCAGGAAGTGACCAGTTGTCTTTGTGCTACTTAAACATATCGGTTACATATAGAAATTTCTGAGACAATAATTTAGTTTCATATTGTTCTTTAGAAACGATTTGGATAAGCAGACTTAAAGTAGTAATTTGTTTATTCATGAAGTGGTCTTGTTAAGACTGTAGAAAGATAGGGTCTTCCTTTAATTCAAATGAGTTTTAATACATTCAGCTGTATACTTCTATTTTCAACAATAATATCGTTTTAATAAGACCCTTATTAGAACTTAATAAATGATGTTATTAGTAGTTTGTATTTTGCATCTTCATGTATCTAAACATAATAATTTAAATTTTTATTCCTCTAATTGTAACGATGATTTCAGTAGTTATACTTGACCATGTGCTTACAATCATCATACGGTTTGTATTCTGAAAGTAACTTTACATGCGGTAAATTTAGAGATAAGTCGAAATGTTCTACCTATAAAAATGATCAATAAAGAATAGATATACAAGCTCATTTTTGATGAAGCTCGTTATTGAATTTTAACGATCAAATCAGTGGCTATCATTGCTATTAATGCACCGTTAAATGTTCAATATCAAAATACAGTTGAACTGTAGTTCCTAGGGACGTAACAATTGACGAACGAATTTTTCGGTTTCCATCAAGACGATAAATTACAGCAAGAAATTGGAACTTATTCAAATTTTAGACTCATGTAAACTAATGTTCATGTACATGTACACAACAGACAGTAAAAATCAACATGTTAGTAGGTAGTATATATGATCAACGGAAGATAGTTTTCATATTCTTAACATAATAAATGATTAGTTAGTATCTTTAATCACATTTCTGAACTTAAGGTGTTTGCCAAAACTTTTATTAGGCAGGGATCTAATATTTTTATACATTCCTATTGCTCACTAGCTGCTGAACAAAGTCAGGGAGACTACTATTACTATTCCTTGTAATATATATATATATATATATATATATATAATGGTGAAAGCTGTTATCTAATTTTAAACTGAACTCGGCTTTGATAAAGTCTGCAGTAAATACGATCTAGTGCATCTATGCGCTTTCTGTTAAGTCAATAAGACTTGCTCAGTCAATTCATTTTCAATGGCTTTTGATAGCTAGAGAAATGTTAAAAACCAATTTATTCACTCAAACTTCACAATGTTTAATTTTAACAAATAATATTGTAAACCCTATCAATATCTCCTATTATGATATTATTTTTGAAGAGGAAATTTCAATTTAGTTATTTACATTGAATGTTCATCGAGTACTAACAAATGTTATGCTTGTCTAATTCATAGTGAGGATCGAATTCTATTGACTGTTTAGGAGTATGTTTATGGATCTGATTGAAGCAGCATCACCTGTACTGAGCTTTCGGATGTTAGGTGGTTAAAAACAGCCAGGAGGAAATTTTGGATTTAGGTTTTGTGGTACTTGACACACTTTGACAGGGTGTTCAAGTATTTACATTGGTTATTACTCAGTGACTAATCAACATTAACACCTCTCCTTGGAAACATGGGTTCCAATGTTGACGAGTATCAATTGGTTAAATTTTCTGTCGACTACCTCAAACTACCTCACATCAATCTACTCTTTCATCTTATTATCTTTTATGCTTTTCTTAATCTAGTTAAGTCAAACGGTTTGTAAATGCTTTATATTTTTTTATGGCCTCTGATTTCCAAGCTTTTGACAGAGCGATGTTTCGTCATTAAATTTATAAAGATCGTTCTACTTAATATTCGTTACTTTGCTTTATCTAATCTAAAACTTCTATGATTTCTAGAAAATAGGAAACAAGATAATTTACGAAATATTGGAAAATATCGACCAAAACTGTATATCATACTGAGTGAATAGTGTAAACGTTACAAGAATTTCACAAAATACAACGAGAAATTGTTATCAGACCGTTACCTAATGTTAGTGATTCTTCAGATGTATATATTCATTGAGTTTCTCAATTTATTCATCTATTGTAATTCTCTATTGTAATATATAGGAACTAAGTAGAAATAACTACGATGATATCTTCTAATCATTAACTAAAGATCAATTATTGTGGATGATCTATTATGGCTAGGATATTTTTACACTTATATACATTTGTCTTTGTAGTTATTTACCTGAACACTAAAAACATAATTTACCGTTGACAAACCTAAATAAATTTAAAACATTCTCATTTCCAAATTCACTAAGTATTGTTTGTTTAAATCTTCCCATATGATGTTTAGGACTGCAACTGGTCAGTATCTAACTGGCATATGTGCATACTGTGCTTATTGCCTCGATATAGTCTTAATTCACAAGCATTGTAAGCAAAGATGGATAGTGGCTAGCAGTGGAATCCAGGACAAGCGTTTCGTCCTATGAGATGCAGGTACATCCGACTGACGAGTCTCAGATAGGACGAAACGTGCGTCCTGGATTCCATTGCTAGTCATTATCCATCTTTGCTTACAATTCTTATTTCTAGTTCAATAAAGTCTCAAAACTAGAAATTTTGTAGACTATTTCAATCATGATTGATCAGTAATGGGTTATAATAATGCAAACATCGGTAATATGGTTATGCTTTTCATTATCACTGGTGATAAGATTGAACATTTTAATCTCTCTCAATATGATCTTAGTTTTTTTTACTAATCAATTCATTGATATATCATATGTGATCTATGCTCTTTCTATTTACATTCATTTTGATTCTAAACAATCTTTGAAAATTCAATTTACTACAGATTACATAGATTTTACTTAAACTAGTTTGAAAATGTAGTTTTATGTTTTCAAGTAAGAATTTAACTTTATTTAATATTGAATAAAGTAATTAAAACCTTTATAAGACTTCACACGAATACAAGTTGAATTATTCATCTATATAGATTGAATCATATATCTGTATGTAACCATAATTATGTGCATAAACTTATATGTATGTATATAGTAATATAAGAAAAGACAATGAATACATGAAAAGGCTTGAATACAATGTAAATTTTGTCTTGGTATCAGTTATACATACCAATTTAAACAAATGTATGATACTATTCAAAATGATTTCCAAAGTAAATATTCAAGAAAACAAATAGAAATTTTTTTTAATTCATTAAAACGAATTCATGAAATGAATTAATTAATGAATAGTTAATTTAAATCTAAAACGTGTGAGTGTAGATAGAATATAGAACAGTTAGATTTTAAAACAAAACAAACAAAGAAACAAGCTGGAAGATGCAGTTCAGTAAAGTGATAGTGAAAGATACTGATATGAATGATGAAATGATGGAATTAGCTATACGTGTTACAGCATGTGCTATGGATCGATTTCAAGCTGATATGGATGTAGCTAATTTTATTAAAACACAATTTAATAAAAAATATGGTCGATCATGGCATTGTACTGTAGGTAGACGATTTGGAAGGTAAGAGCAAACTAATTACTGCTTTGCGTATGTATTCAACAGTAATTTATGAAGTCTTTTTGTTTTTTGTTGTTGTCAATATCATGTTTTATTCTTTATTTCTATCATAACTTAGTGATGTTTCCCACGAAGAACGATCCTTCATATACTTTTTTCTTGGAGATCGTGCAATCTTATTGTATAAGTCGGGCTAAAAGCCATGTTGAAATCATCATGACATCAATAGTTTTGATATATATACCGATGTTAGCAAATCGCAATGTTCCAAAAGAATGAAATCATTACGCTTGATACTTTTAATAGACATCTGTTCAATTTTTTCTATCTCAACAATGTATTCATAGTATATTTTGATGTTTAATTTGCTGTAGACTTCTTTTAACCTTTTAAAAATGGATAATATTCTGTGTTGCTAGGGTATCATTTTAAAATATTATAATAGTAACGATTGTAAGTTTATTCTTACAATCATTACATTGTTAACTTTATATTCAATAAACTGATCAATAAACTGTTTAATTTATTTCTTTCCTTATCAGTTGCTATGCTATGAAATAGTCTTTTAGTATTTTACGGTATGAATTGATTTTCTGTACTAACTAAGCTGATCTTAATCAAGTAGAAAAAAGCAAATAGAATAGTGTAAAATACTTTGAAAAGTAATTTAGAAAAAGATCAGTGTGTGTGTGTGTAATGTAACTGCAGTCCTGAATGTCAATGGGAAGATTTCAACAAACAATATCAAATGAATTTAAACTTGTGATATTAATGAATCATTTAATACTACTAATTGGTTAGTATAGTTTTGTTGATCTAAGAGACATAAATATGAGTGTAGAGCCATGATGATAAACTAATTGGATAGAAACGTTTCTTTGCTTTGTTTGTCTTCCTATGAATTAAAGTTGATAAAGGGGGAAAAGACTACAAAAGGCAGTCTGAACAAAGTTTTATTGTTATGTATTATAAAAAACGGTCATTATTCTGATGCTTGAAGTGATGAGACTATCAAAGCAATAGAAATAGTAATTCTGTTACTGACTGTAAGGCTCTTTTCTTTTAATAATCTATATTTAGGACTAAAACTAATCAGCCTCTGCTATTAAGTATATTTCATGAATGGAATCCTCTCTGTTGCTGCGTTTATTTAGTATTAAAAGCATGGAAATTACTTTCGTTGTCACTGTTTAGTGTTTATTTGAAGACAATCAATACTGCTCATTCAAACAAATACAAGAATTCTGTTCATCATAGAGCAAAACTAATTATAGTGATTAAATCATACTTAAGATAATCAGTTTCAAACATCATTATTTATCCCTGGTGAGCAGAAAATATGTTTTCGACCAATTATCATCCTGATTATTGTGGTAAAGTTATTCCGGAAAATGGTAGATTTATTGGGTTTCATCATATTACCTCCATTGAATAAACACGGTACTTCAATTTATTCCAAATTTCTTTATTTCTTTGTTTTGTGTGTTACTTTGAATATATAAGTATAGTTTAGGTACTTGTTTCTTTTTGGGATATAACATATAAATTTATACATTGACTAAAAATTATGGGTACGCCGTTTGTGCCGAGATTTTGGTAGAACATTTTACTGGAAATCATTTGCCTCAGTATTGAGCTGTTAAGTTATATCTGTTAGTTCAAAAATATTGCTGAACATTTGATTAATTTTTCAAGAGAACGATATTCTATCAAAAGAAAGTCCTCAACACAATTTCATTGATATTTTAAGATGTGATACAAAATAATTTCATTAGGAATGTTTAAAAGACTTCAAAAAAGAATGAATCGGTTTCCTGTTGTAGCTGTAAATAATTCCCCAAACTCAATAGCTTTTTAAGTGTTCGACATTGGTTACTAACCACATTAGTTTTAGTGGACTTGTTTAACTGAAGGCGTTCGGTCATGCATCCGCACCGTATCACGTTACAGCACAGCAAGGGAAACATTTCCTACGATCATTAGCCAGATTAGATCAATCGATCCTCGATATATTGATAGCGCATCAAATATATCTTCCAACCTTTTCGCTTCTGACTTCTAGTTTTAACTGGTTGGGCATGATTCGATTATAGAAGGTATTACTGGTTAATACTTGTCAAACTACAAAACTTGTGGTATCTTCACTGTTTACATTTTTAAGCATTTAGGTTTTGTAATTGTTATCCCAAATATCTAAACTTACAAACTAACATTGGCAGTCCTAAGGAGTTGTAAATTAAAACGAAGTAGATGTGTTTTGCTTTCTGACTTATTGATGGTTTTTTAGAAAACGTCGGTTTATTTAAAAATATCCTAAAAACAAAACGATCTACCCTACTAAATGTGAAAAACTTCCTTGCCATGGTCCCTAGACTGTGTTCATGGATAAAAACGTGAATATAGAGATTTCCTTTACTTACATTTGTTTCGTTACAGACCTCCAGTAATTCCTCTTATAGTTTCTGTGGAAAACTATTGTCAAACTAATGTAGAATAAAATTTCTTAGCTCGTCAGTTTCCGCTTTGACAATTACCAATGTGTTAAAAAATATATATAACCATCTAGAAATAAATCGAGAGAAAAAACCACCATATGGTATTAGGTGGCGCAATATATCAGTAATCTATTATTAGTAAGTATAACTTCAAAGTAATTAAATGGTATCAAGAAAATAAATATTTAGATGATGGCCGTCTGAAGTTCAGTATTACTGGTGATACATCACATAAACATAGCTGAAAGTACTTTCGGCAAGGCTATAATTTATGGACGAACCAATCAGGTATAATATAACAGATCTCGGATTTTGGCGCAAAATTCGCTCATTCGTTTGGCTAAATGAGGTTTCATAACTATAGCTGATGTCAGTTCGTGATGAAAACCCTAAATCTAATTCTTTGCCTTAACCATCAACTGTAAATCATAATTCTAATTACTTACACAGTTTTACATCCTTCATTTGGTACTAGTTATAAGGTGGACTCTCTCAAGGCCAGTCTGGATTCACTCAAAGGTCGTCCATAAGTTTAAGTCTTACCGTATTTTCTTTATACGGATGTCTAACATCGAGCAGAATATCATTTCAGAGGAATTAATTATTATGACTGGATTCTTGAGGTGTGCAATGTTAGTTATCTATCACGGTTGAACAATCTTAGATGCTGGAGTGAAGCCTAAGGCAGCATGATCACTTTTGCTTAAAGCAACCTGCGTATTACCCAGCTTTGTATGCCTATGTGCGAATATGGAGAAAATCCTTCACGTCTGTTCTTTTTTGTGACCAATCTTTTGTATTTTTGAATGGTGTGCTTTATCTCTCATTGTTTTTGGTATTTTGTATACCGATTTCCATTCTTGAGATTGATTGCAAATATTACTACTACATTGTCTATAAACCCTAAATCCTTACTATTTAATGGATGCCATCGGATCTTTCGATAACCATTTTATCTTTGTTTTACTTATTACCATTTTCATGGCGCTCGCCAAATTGGACTGCCATACTTTTGTCGATACTTTGTGAACTGATAGTGTAATATTATCAACACGGTAAGATGGAAACAATTTTTGGTTTGAAATTATTGATTGGTTGATTGGGTCAATACCTTTAATTGGGCAGTTGAGGTTAGTTAGAAACAAATTGAGCTGAGAATATAGATGAATCTCATCAAGGTATATACTCCAACAACGATTCTCGCTAACTAGTCGAGTTGCTCACGAAGATGGTCTCTGTTTGTTGAGGTTGATTTTGAACCCTGTTTGGTTTTAGGGACGTTTGCTATCATTAACTGTTAATTAGTTGTGTTTTTTATATTGTCATCGTTTTCTAATTGGTTGCTTATATTTGAAGCTAAGTGAATTTACCTACCGTTCTTCTCTGGGTAGGATATCGTTTCTTGGATAATAAGAATATTTTCACTGTTGTGACAATTGTCCTTCATCAGGTATCTGTACCGGTTGGAAAAAATACTGTTCAGGTACCATTACATCTATAAGTGTTCGCATTCCTTATTACAGTACCTCTACCGCGAATCTTGTGCATCAATTTGAACGTTTGTTACAATATTATAAAGAAATTATTGGCTGTTACCGTCTTTTGAATTATTAAACTCGGTAGAGCATCACCGAGAGTTTAACACTGAGACAAACATATTGTAACAATTTGATTTCTGGACATAACAGCCTGAAACAACTGGCTATCAAGTAGCATGGTCCTAGGAAGTATGAAATAATAATTTCAACCCTTCTCAGACTACCCACACTAATTGCGTTCACCTCGAAAATTAATTGCTAAAGGACGTTAGGTTTAAATACATGTTTGTAGTGTTTCAGTCCACATTTGGTCGTAGGCGTAAACCACAAGGTTTAACAGTGAATCAGAAGCCGGTAGAACTTTATATAACATATGACGTCAAATATCCAAGTTATTCAACTGCCAATCAATGTCCAGTTTAACTTTATACGGAGAAAAGTATGTCGTAAAATCATTCAAGATGCTTCATAATCATCCTTGTTGTAGCTTGTAGTGACCGGTTTGTCTCAACAAGAACACGATTGAAATGGAAGAATCAGTTATTATTATTGTAACCAATTGTACCAGCGATCGTTTACTGTACTTGTTTAACTGTATCCAACTCACTTCTCCTTCCGCTATCCGCCTTGTTTGGTTCGAACTTTCTTACGCCCTGCCCATATTGCCTGTACTTTTTGGCACGTCTCGGTATTCTTTCGATACCACGAGATCGCCAATAAATATACTCTATCTGGACCAGTTACAGTCTTCTGGTTTACGAGTTATCGAGGGAACGAAGTCGTTTTTGGACGCGTAATCTCATTGTAGTGGTGATCATAGTCCATCAAGACTCGACGCCATCTACAAACTTATGAATGGTTTGTGACATATGGCTAAGAAGATTGTCCTCAGAAGATAAAACGCTTTGGATGGTGGTGATGCAATCAATATCAGAAGATGGAGCAGTAGAAAGTATTGGTGATCGACCTGGTAAGCAGGTCGCTGACGATGGTAAAAAGACTGAAAAAACTCAACTCTCAATAGGTAAGTATACATAAGTATACTTCAGGTTGTTCCATAATAACACAACAGTTTCATTCCCCGGGCAAAGTAAACAGTATGTACAGATTCGGCGAGTCTAAAAAATGCACAAACAACAAGCCGCTGAGAAATATAGTGAGGTTTGTGAGGTGGTAGTAGGAAGAAAATCCGTCAATTTTTGCTACACAATCATTAATTGCCTACTAATGCTTCAATTTTCCCAACGCTTACTTTTGTGTAGTCTGCTTACTAAAGAAGAAGTGAGTAAAAATATAAATAAGTGTGGCGAATTGACTAGTAATGTTTACTACTAGTTTTTTGTAGTTGTTTTTTAAACTTAACCTCTGGTGTCGTCTGTTGTGTTACCAACACATAGTTTATTCTAGTTTCCGGACAAGCCAATTTGTTCATCCTTTTCAAGCCACATTGTGACCTTGTTAAATATTCGTTTATCAATCTTGACTGCTTTTATATGATCGTATGTGTGTGCATATCTCATCCAATCTATCATCATTTTCCTTTGGCTATAAACATAGATTAAAGTGAGTTGGACTACTTGCATTCTCCCCTGCGCGTCATTTCTCTTCATTCCTATGATTATCTTCTCAGATCGATGAGTGTACAAAATATACATATTCCGAATTCATTCTCGTATTTGACTTATTTAATTCCGTTATTCATCAGGACGATTTAAGTCGATGACTATAAATGAGGATTGGTGACATGTGTATTTAAATAACAACCATTCATGTGATCTAAATGGAGTCAGAAAAATGGCCACAAAGTGTATATACAACTTGCAAATTTAATTCTCTATATCGAATATCGTTCTTCCTTTATCGGTAGTAATGATGTATCAATAAACGTTTACAAAATATTTGTTTTAATCTTCATCATATTTCTATGTGGAGGTACAAATATAATCTTAGCGATTATCTGTTTGCGATAATTAGAGATAAGTAAGTGTTTGCCCCATAAAAAGTCAATTCGTTATGACAGCTTTCAAGTACTGCTTCAATCTAGAAGCTTCGCTAAAACGTTGCGTCATATATGTAAGTTTATCCATGGTGACGTTATATTTGGATGAATACTAGCAAGGTTTACCATGCAAAGGAACATGAATTTTCGCCAAGCTTTCAGGGGGTCTGAGACACTATGTATTTTTCGCACGTGATATGACTAAACTTGTCATATTTATAATTAAATAACCCGTTAAAACGTGTCAATATAAAACATTGTTATCATCAACATGTAAGTCGTTTGTTCATATAATTTTCCATATTCAGCAAAGCCTTCCACTTTTTAAATTAGTTGAAGAGAGACAAGTTGTACATCAGAAAACAAGCAGTTTCCATCCTAATCCATATGATTCTGAAAAAAATTAATCGTGAAACAAACGGTTAAACTTCGTCATAAGTATCAAATTCAATAAGAAAATGGAATAACAGCCAACAGAACGTAGCTATAGGTGTCATGCTTGTTTTACACAATTCTCATTTGCTGACCCTCCTAGAATTCCACCTAGTCATTGTTGGTGAAGGAATTGCAGACACTAAATAAACCGATTAGTACCATGAAATTTTAGAAAAATCCAATTACAATGTTCATAATACTATTAGAATTTATAGTTTACATAAATTAATGGCATCATTGCAAAGAACTACTTAGATATTACTCATCCGAACGCATTAGATCGTTGTTTATAATTTGGCCAGTGATTGCATATTTTTTTTATGGAAATTCATTCGTAATCTCTATAACGGACACATCATAAATCCGTATACACTAACAACATAACTCAATTGTCATGTTCGAATCAAACATTCATTGTTTTACTTATGAAGAATATGTCACTAATTGATGTGACAAATCGATGTTATATACAGCTTCTGTATACGTTCATGAAACCGGAAGGAAAAACTATCTGTGTTAAGTGTTACTCAATAATGTTTTTTTCTCAGACAAGTTATATATGGTGTCAGTTCCGTCGAAAATGATATTTTTAATTGTTGGGACTGTTTATGGTTAAGAACTAGAAAAAGATAGTGTCCATTAGTAGCTTGACACAGAATTTCTTCAACGTTCAGTCCCAAAAAAATACCAGTCATCCATGTTCATCAACATCCTTTAGGGTGATGAAGCAAATATGAAAGGATTTTAGAGCTCATATTTCCTTAAATAATATGACCACGGCTTGCTTCTGAGTTGACAAATAGTGAATATTAATTTCTTGAGTTCACATTGTTATAAATGACCACATTAAGTTGACTTGACATTTACTTAGTTAGTAAACAGCAACTATATCAAGCGAATGATTAACTAAAACAAAATTCAAATGGATCATAGTTAGCAGTGAATGTTACTTCGCTGAAAATGTCGGGGGAAAGATAACTTACATGAAGTTCAATATTTCATCCTTCATGCCGAATGAGACTGTCGAGTTTTTGTGAAAACAGCATTGTTGCTCGGTATTGTGACATCAAATGTTTCAAGCACCTTCACTGCCCAGAGATAAATACGTTCATCAGAATAGCGATTAAACTATTCGTCATCATTTGCATCTTGCTTTCATTAGAGTACGAGTCTCATTCTATTCTTATTTCCTCCAGAATCTAATATGTTTGTTAACAGGTAGAGTCTTCGAAGAGTTCAGTCTCTCACTTCTATTAAGAGTACAAGGTGAATTTTCATCCCTCTTTAAAACGATTCATCAAAAGGTTTTATTACTATCGCATATGGGAGATATTAACGACGAGAACATTCTCAAGTAATTTGTAGATTCTCTCAGAAGTTATACTCTTAAGAGATGTCCTGTTGCATTTCTGTTAGCCCTATATCTTATAAATGTTCTGGTGTGACGGAAAACTGTGAGTAATATGATACGTCATATTCGCGTACTTCGCAATATTTCTGTTCTGTACGAGTCGTGAGTCCGAAACTGGTAAATGAACAGACTAGTGTTTTATAACTCAAGTACTCTTTCGTTGCCACCCTCTAAAGTATTTGCGAAAAGTTAGTATCCTCATTAGGTCGCAATGTCTTTTTCTTAAATAAATTTTCCATTAGGCATTGAGTACTGTTTTAAATAGTTCAGGTGTCAAGGTCACTACTGTTTACTACTACTGTTCTGAATTGATGAAATATAGGGGACTGCTTTCATTAAATGTTATCAGAAGTATGAAGCTATTTCCTAGAATATATTTTGAAGTTAAAGAAATCAACTGGTTTTAAGGAGTCTACCATTAAGATATTGGATTGTGTTTACAGTTGCGCGACCTTGGATCCTAACATAATATGCCGCAAGATTCGAAATACTTGCTAATTAGGTATTCATCTGTGGTTTTAAGGAATTTAAAAATATTGAACTATGATTTCGAAACACACCATGTTCCTCAACAGGCTGATTCATTTTTGTAAGTTGAAAGCTCGTCAAATCAACTACTGAAGGTCTTTTTTCAAAATATCTCGCAAAGCAGAGTTTATACACATACTCCACTTCTTATTTCGGACTCTAAATCCTGTGAAATATGATACGGAATTAAGGTACTAATCAAGTAGTTATTTATTTCCTAAAGTGGATTTCTGGGGTCCAAATCTGATGTTGGGTTCAAGAATGCGACATACCGCTGGTTACGCATTTTGTCAACTGAGGTACGTTTATTTTCATATAACGTAGGTAGTTTCCTAAAGTGATTTCCAACTTCTTTGCCACTTGGGGTTGCCCCGCTGGCGTTGGCGTTATGCGTCTTCTGGCAAATCTATCTTCTTATGTCCTAGTAGTTTCAAATGATATGATAGCCTTCAACAAACAAATTGTGGAAAACTACGCTAACTGTGAATGGATGTCAGTCAACTCTATAGGAAGTGTTCAGCGTGATCTAAAACATTCACTTTCTCATATTATTTCGGAAGATCTGCTCCAAAGGTTAGTTTTCAATATTTGGACAAACTGCTCACTACTAACCTAGTGCTTAGGTGAATAATTTAAAAATGTTATTTGCACCTATTGTTTGAAAATTGGTTCGTCTTCATTTTTAGGCGTTTGGGTAGTGTCTGCTCCTTACAAGTTATCGTTCAGGCAAAATATATGGGCCTTTACCTAATAACTGATTTTATTAACTGACAGGTTGAAATTAACAATCGTATCTATGTCTATAACTGTTAGCTAATAGGGGGAAGAAGCTATCAATGTAGCAATTATAACATGCACAGTTTTTTGCGTTCAGGTTCCAAATAGAGAATAACACGAGCTAGCACTAGATGACTTAATATTTCCACAGAGTTCAAATACAACTTTTTCTTCTATATCGGGTGTAAAATCACGTTCATTCGATAACGATATCCTCTGTCTAGTTTTAAATAACATATTAGGCTTCAGTATACTGCGCTTTAATTTATATTTCCCTTTCTACACAAATTCCATTTTCTATAGCTCCACCTTTAATTACTTTTATAAGACGGAAAAGCGATATAAGGCTGAGCTGCTACACTTCACTCCAACAAAATCAGTAGGATGACATGTAAAATTGAGGTGACAAGTATAAACTCTATTTTCAAGTGGTTGGATCACCTACATGTATGTATATGTACGATCCTCGTCCTCTGAACTAGCTTTTTCTAACTTACTACGCTAACTAGTGCAAAATGTGTGGGATTAATACATTTATAGCTTACCTCTCAACATCCGACTTGCCTTAACACCACTATAACGCACCCAATGGTACTATTACTTTATCCTTTGGTAATTTTGGTAATAGGAGTGCTTTACATTAAAATTATTATTAATCATGGTATGCTCTACGAATTGTTTGACTGAAGGGAACTTCAAAAAGGATCTGAAGCCTTGGATGTTGAAGTTCAGCATGCATCAGAAGAAATTCTAAAATTCAAGCAGCTCATTGTTTCAAATTCCGATTTACAAAGTGATATGTAAGTTAACTTCATTGAATAGTTAATTACGTGTCAATACTTTTCTTATCATGCTGCGTATTTGCATCAGTTATTACACCCTTTTCCGCATATCCAAAGTTTGAAAGATTGGATTCTATAACTTTTGCGCTACTCGCAACAAGCGTTTACAACTATACTTCAGTATTACCCAGTTTTGACCCTTATAAAATTTTTCCAGTAAGCCACCGATATACTCGATTGTTAGTGTGTTGTACAGCTAATCTATAGTTAAGCAGTAAGCAATACCGTTCATTAGTTTCGAAGTCTAGCATTGTACCACAAATTATTGGGTTCGTTTCCCAGGTGAGTATTTAGTATTACAACTTAATGTAGTGATTGAGCGGGTTACTTTTCAACAAGCAGGTGACTGATTCGAACTGCACTTCAGGTTACCAGATAGTTTTTTTATCCCTTATATATTATATGACTCAAAACTGCTTGCGAAAATGTGTTCTGGAAATCACTTACATTTTATGCTGTTATACTCCAGCGTTGAAAAACAGCTGTTTTGGAATGTGCTAGGTGTGCTTAGATTACAACTGCAATCCGTGATATATATATGCTAGAATAATGTTGGTCCTGTTAGGTAAAACGTTTCGTTGGTATCATACCTGTCTATCTCGTAGTTATTTTTCAGTTATGGTTTGTACTTTGCAAAACTTGACCACACTGTTATTCTGCAACATCGAATGTATCTTGGGCCCGCCACTGATACGACACCCAAAGACCAGGCCTAACAGTCAGACCTTCATTGGTCGATTAAATGGCCCACAAGCTAATTTCCTTTAATCGCCTATGAAATTTTATCACGTTCATTGTGTTCATATTTTTGTATATGAACATGTTATTTTCTTACATAAAAGATCATTCATTGGGCAAGTAGTCTTTGGTTTCTAATCATTCAGAGACCTAAATCAATTATGCGATCTCGTGAGTAGCCGTCAACTAGTTACGTTATATCATAGCGTTCATCTCCCGATTAGCATTTTATTAATCGATTCCTATGGTTTAAATATCATGTAATCAAACCGTACTAAACCTCCCCTCCTCTTGACTCATTTATTTTTGTCTTTGTATAATGGTTTGCTCAAGTCCAGATTTTTAAGTATATCTGATCACTGTGAGGAAAGCTCTTTGATCGAAAGTCATCTTAAAATATTGTCTTGAGTAACTTCTCAGTTTTATGTTTAAATTTCCATTTATTTCCACAATAAATAATGTTCCTTGACATTGAAAGTGAGCGGGAGAAGTGGGGGCATCGTCAGTTTATGACATGGAGTAGTAGGTCATCACTGTTTGGTATCGTGAGTTACGTAAATCATATGAATCAGTAGCTTAAGCGATCTTTATTAATGGAAATCAACTCCAGTTTCTTATGTTCTACAACTTTCTAAATCTTATTTGAACACTTGAAAAAGTAATGAGTAATCCTTAAACGTTCCTCAAGTACCTTTGTTCCCTGTTGTCGTCTATGCCTTTGTCTTCGTAAAGTTGTATTGTTTTCCGCGGTCCATTTTTTGTGTTCAACATATCAAGCGTTTTATAGTTAGGGATTATCAGTGACCTACGAATTCCATTGAAATAAAGTTGATTATCAATATATTTTTGTGACGTGATAAGTTAGTTTTTTTTATCGCTTTCTTTACACAAATCAAGTCTTTTTCTTTGATCATAGGAACAATACCCACTTGTTTTCTCTTTGTTCTGATAAAACCATTGGACTCCCGGATGAACTAATTGCTTATCAATTGCAGTTAACAAAAGAAGTAATTTCGTTTTTTCCATCTTCATAGTTGTTCATGCAATGTTTTTTTTCCTGGAAAATATTTTGTTCTTATTCTGAATTGTTCAGAAAATGCTTTACATCACTCATAATCGATCTGAATAAGATATGTTGTTGTTGGTTTCGTCTTCTGGGATCACAGGGTAAGCAATAGTGAGGTTAGACGCAGGTTATTAGGGATTGATGATAAATCAGTTGATGAGGTCGTAAATTTTCATAGACTGGGATGGTTGGGCCACGTGTTACGTATGCCTGAACACCGATAACCACGACGCGCGATGCTGACTGGTGTTGGAGACGGGTGGAACAAAGTTAAGGGCAGCCAAACCAAAACGTGGCATCAGTGCTTGAAGTCACTAACTTCTAGTCTTAGCTATGTTGGTAGATGCATACTACTTGGTTGGGGTCCGCGTGACTATCGTAACTAATGGTTGGAGACTCTGGGTGACATGGCTTGGAATCGATCACTATGGCGTAAGTGTATACATTCTATGCCTTTCCCTAAACTGTGAGTTTAAAGCTACTTTATACCTTTCTTTCTACGGACTAATCCTTTCTTCCCGTATTGTATCCTTATACACAATCTTTCTTTTGCATTACTATAATAATACCATTAGAGTAACTACTTCTATGAATTTGGTGTTCATCTTATGCTAATGAGGTGTGACAACTTGGACCGATGGATACATGTGCCTGGTCTTTCGTTGTAGCTGATTCACTGACTGATGTGATTGAAATGTCTTGTAGCCGTAGATTTTATTAATAGTATAACCAGGTAGTGATTTCATTTTTCCACACTTTAGATAAAGTCAATCAAACGTAGTCTCATAATAATCACAGAATTTTATCCGTCCAAGTTGTCATTTTTTGTCAGCTGCTTAGAATGGTTATGTGTATATATAAATTAAAAGCCGAGGATATGTAAGGGTAGGGTTGAACAAATACCTTTTGAATAACAGGATATCTAAAATCTCAGTTAAACTGAGAATCAAACGCATTTACTCTACCGTGTCCTTATTAAGATATCTTGGAGCCCAATTAAGAAGTCTTTGTGTGTCTACAGTACACAAACCAACAGTAATTAGCTTCGTTATCTGGTTACTTATCCTTATCTAACAGCCACCAAACAGCTTGTTCTTCATATCGAGTATGTCGTTTTTGGGTTCTCAATTTACTTTCAATCTGTTTAACTGTTCATAGAAGTTTGCCTTAGACGTAATTATATGTACTTTTTTCTCGGAGAATAACTGATTGCGTGACTAGACAGGAAATATCTGAATTGTCTGTACATATAGTGAATAAGTGTATGTATCTTTTCAACATCTAATGTGTGTCGCACATCTAGGATGTGATTTTCTGTCACTGTGTTTAAAACATATTGAGTCGTTGTTATCCCAGTGTTATTGCTCCTGCGACTTATGCACAAGAATAAAACTGTTCGTGTCATCTAGGATTTTATGTGTATTAATAAATCGCATGACTTCCTTTACTAAGAATAAATTAGAGAATGTTTTGTTCAAATTCAATGAAGTCAGAGTGAGCACAACTTTAGAACCACACCTAGTGTCATAAAATGATATAACCTACACGTTATAGTTGCAGCCAAACTTGTTGCTTTTTTCTTACTCATAGGTAATTAGTAAATAAGATGTCTAGACTTTATAGTTAGTTTCCCGGAAAGACCTTGGTTAGAAAATCATTGGAAAATAAGGAGCACTGGATAACTATTTCATCCTGATACAAAACGCCTTAACTGGAAATGTTCACGGCTCCTCCGTTGATCAAGCCCAAGATCTTCAGGTCTGTCAGTGAGTGGTTAACCTTAAGACCCCTAAGCCTGAAACCAATGGCTTGCGTTTATATTTAAAACCAGTCGGTGATATAAGCTCTCGAATCCAATAGTTCGCAAAGACCTACCATGCTAAAATATGTAAGGTTTCCCTTCGCTGCCGAATTTTCATGTACATATATATAAGAATTTAAGTGACAGTGCTCTCAATTATGTAAGTAGAACCATAAAAATTCCTAATTTATATCGAGTAAGCAACATTATTGTTCATTACTAAACATCTGATGTCATATGGTTGCCTACTAATCGTCGGTAAATGTTTGGCACAGTCTACATTAGCAACATAAGATTTACTCTTGAAATGCATATTACTTATAGTAGTATGCTTGTTGTTGTTAGTTTTAATACAATTCACTTACTTCTTCATGTGCTATTAAAAGTATGAAAGTGAAATTATGCTATTGGCTTAAATGATCTCTTCATAAGATATTCATAAATATTTTAGAGGTTTGATCACACAGCATACCTTAACGTAGTTATCACTGATTTGATTTTTGTTATTTGTGCTGCGAAATAATTTTAACACAACTATGGTTGATGGTTTATTCACTTTGTCTTGCAGATGTTGTGTTACGATTTCCTGGATGGCGATATTTGTCAGCTAAAAATAAATTTAAGGAAGACTTATCAGCCAAATTATATAAGTCTTTATATTTCATCACGTAATCTGAATTCAATAAATGTTAAGTACGAATTTCAGGAATTCTGCTGATGAATGATTCGACAGTCTATCATCTAAAGTATACAACTGAATAATCCTTTATAAAATTTATATTTCTAGCAAATTGCTTTGTAATAGGAAACATTTATTTATTTAAACACATAAATATTGGTACAAGGAAACACCAAATACATATGCGCCATACAAATCTCATTCGATTTGTGTGAGGGCTGTGATACTGCCCAGGTGCCCAAACTGAAGCAGGTGGTTTTCTTAGGGGGCCACACCCGGAGCCTTTGACCGAAAGATCTGATCCACAAGGCAGTGGAGCACCGTGAGGAGATGCAGTCCCATGGTAGCCGGTGACCAACGGTTGGTTCTTACGCCATTTGTTCCGTCAGGATACTGGAGCCCATGTGCACCATTGGTTTGGAATCAGGGTTTTCCAACTCCCCTAGGTGGACTCGCCTTGTCCACCAACCCGGTTAAAGCTCCGGACATTCGCTTTTCGTCCTCTCAATTTCGTAAACAACAGTAATGTCACGAGAAGGCAGTGAGTAGGACTTCCCTGGCAGAGGCTATATATTTGCGTGGCCATGTGAGAGCATTTCGAGAGGGAGAGAGGACTCTCCCCACTCTCGGCCGTACCGGGGCATTTGGGGGCGCTTTGTAATAGACCTATAAAACATTTATTTACGTTGAGTGATCACTTAGTAGTTCAGCCTATTCCTTATGATTGGTTATTGAACATTAATTTATTGATGTACTATTATTCACTGCAGCATTATTTTATGTTCAAGTCTTTTTTTCTCCGACCAAATAATTTATTTTTGACCCATTCTATGAAAAATTATTTTCAGGTATCTACTTTGAGACAACAACTTAAAACCTACTTAGACAAGCATAAGCCTTCTTTACTGCTGTTAAACAATATACTGGATAGTTTAAGCGATCATAAAGTGTTTACTCTAAATAGTTCCAAGATGAGGTTTCTACAGTCAGGAAACATACTGTCATCATATTTAGGTGAAAATAACAAGGTACGCACTTTAATTAGTCATTGTTCTGAATTTAGTTATGAAAGTTTGATTATTTTTCTACTTCTATTTCTTGATGTATTTAAACGTTTAGTTAACTGACACTTCAACATCCAACTGTCCACGAGGTCGATATGCTTAGCGTTAAAATACGACTCCATATATTAAAACATCATATTCGTTATGTGTGACGGTCTGTTTAGCGTTTGTTCTTATTATACCTTAGACATTTGTAGATTTATTTTGTAGAGCGCCACCTCAATAGTTAGTGTTCAGATTTCAGTCACTGCGTCACAGATGTAATTTACTGAGACACAGTAAAATTCGTTGAACCGGATTTTATTCGAATTATTCTCTTCATATGATCGATTCAATAACCACATAATTTGAAGTTGAAGTAACAGTTTACACTTGCAATCCATATGACGAACTTTTATTAATTCACACTTAAAATTGACTTTATCTATGTAACCTTCAGGCATGGGATTAAGATTTTTCTAATCCTTATCAAATTTACATCTCTTTATAAGTAGTCTTTCAATGATTTAAAATGTTTAGATATCGATGTTATCATTTGTTATTTGGTTGCCACTTATTCTTGTTTTCATAAATAGTTTCAATCCTATGTTTTTAAGACTCAGGTAAAAAAATGTTGCGTGGAAAAAATATATTTTTTCTAGAGAATTTGTGTTATGATAATAACAACGAATTCTCACTGTCATTACAGATTCATAAGGAAATATTTCATTTTATAGGTTACACTTTCAAGCGAGCCGCGCGTTTTCATTACTGGTAAATTTTATTTCCTTTTGTATATAACTCAGTAAGGTTTGTTAACTCAGAGTAGCTTTTACTGTCACGGACGGTGACATCTACCGAAAACCGGCTTCCGAAAATGTATATCAGTTCAAGTTCCTACATAACAGCACGACAAGATGAAATTGACAAGGTTTGTAGCAAAAGATTTGAAGTACTATTAGTATCTGTGGTAGTGAGAGATATTAAACACTGGATAGTACGATGGGTGGTGGTTGGAAATCAAATCCAGGATGCGCGCTTCGTCCTATATTGGTCTCATCGGCTGCATGTGCCTGCATCCCAGAGTTGATGTTCACTCCGATTCTCAAACTCCATCACGTTACCCACCTAGCTACTTTTTACAGATAGCCACTAGCTTGTGCAATGGGGTGAAGTGTAATTCATCTTGTATTGGTTGTTTGAATCTTCTCATTGACATTTATGTCTCCAATTGATTGGTCTCTATTGAGTTATGTGAGACTGATTAATCACAGTCAGTAAGAACATAAACTAAAAGAGACTGATCAGTTGCAGTCATAAACGTCTGTGTAAACATTCAAATAACTACTAAATTGTATAATATGGTTTCGGATCTAATAAATAAAAGTGCGAATTAACTTCAAAGCTCAACCTCTCCAAAAACTGACTGCGCGGTCCTCAAATTGATGTTGTGCACTTGCAAAGGCAACTCAGTCAAACAATCATTGAATTAATGGACTGATGTAATGGTCGGAAACTGATCACTTTAGTTGCTTAGCTATTATGTTATTCCCTCACGCATTATATATTTCTTTATACGTGTATGGGCTTTTTATGTTATCACTTTTAACTTAGGAAGAACCGAAACAAAGAGATGGCAAATTAAATTTTCATTTGTAAGTTTATGATTTTTTCGCTCTGTTTACTGTGTATGATCTCTCTCTTAGTGATTGTAAGGTATTGTATGTCAATATATATTGTTTTCAACTTTGCATTGTGCATTACTTTTGCAGAGATACGTTCGTATATTATTGGTAATATTATTCATATTTAGACGTACTTATCTTCCACCGTTCTATCTTTGGATCATCTTCCATATAATGACTACCTCGAAAACTGTTATGATGTCTTATTTTTCAACATTTTAAGCCTAACGTCGTTAGATTGTAACACTTTCAAAATATTCTATGTACAGAAATAACTGTGTACTTTGTTATTTGTCAATGATTATTTCATTTGAAATAAGTGAATATCAACCATAACTTTATGTATGAAATGGCATATCAAAAAGAAGTTGTTTTATTCACAGTTTGTTGAACTTAGTGAGGGGCGATCTTCTTTCCAAAGTTTAGCATTCTGATTTAGAAATGAAATAGTACCTTGGTGGTTAAAGCGGTAGAATTTAAAGTAGGTAGGGGATAGATTGGAATTCTACATCATCACCTAGATAGTGGCAGCCAGTCAATTTCACCAAGCTCCGAACAAACAGTATGTATCGTAGCCGATTATGTAAGCTTATAAATACTGAGTCATATCATATTTAGCTGAATACGAATATGCATTTAGACTGTAATTGTGTATTTTATTTGAATTTGTTCTCTGTAGATTTCTGCGTTATTCAATAATGCTTTTACAAAGAGCTTTCAAATCTTACAATCCTTCTTTTACAAATGATAAATTTCAAGAATTACCTTGTTCACAATTTAGTACATTGAATCAAAACAGTTCATCAGATTGTCTTACTGTGTTTAAACAAGCTGTTGGTCAGTTTTACTCTCAAACATCTATCGATTCTAATTTTTCAACACATTCTGAGAAGGAACTCTGTCGGTTAATGAATGAAATGCATAGTACTATTGATAAATTACAATTTGAACTGTATGTTTTTAGCTATTATTATTTTTAAGATATTTTCCGTTTTTTAATACTCAAAGTCTACTTTCTAAAAATTTCATTGAGTTTGTGTATATTTGATTTTTCGTTTAATGGAAACGCGATGGCATTTGAAGCGAAAGGTCCCGGGTTCGAGTACCTGGGTGAACATCAACTCTGGGATGCAAGTAAATGCAGCTGACAAGTCCCAAATGAACAGAAAAGCACATCCTGAATTCCACTACTGGCCACCAACTATCTGTGCTTATAATTTTTTGATTATTATTATCCGCCTTCCAATTACTCAACTAATCATCTGATATAATTTTGTAATCACTGCAAAGTCATTATTAATGTTACGCAACTCTGTCCGTAGTTTAATAAATGTCTGAATGTGAACTTTCACTAAACTTATATTCTATAGTATTTATGCAGGTTGCGTATTAAAAAACCATCATTTCTACTAAGCATTACAGCGGTGAGTGAAGGACTCACGAACGATTTAGCGCTAGAACAACACCTAACTTCCGTTTTTGATGAATGCATGGAACGCGTCCGGAATCCCACGCTTTTCGTTTCTTGAATCACTGTTCATATGATTATTGCCGGAAAACCTTATTTCTGGCTTCTCCTAAAGATGTTTCGATTGATGGGGGTGGATACCGGACAATTGTAGAACTACGTATAAGAAGTATATTCGAACGACTTCAACTTCCTTGTTTATTTTACTGACTTAATAAGCATGATGCTTATATGATGCGATAAAGTTAATCATAAAAGGCGACCAGCAACCCTATTGGCCCTCTAAAAGTAGTAGTAGAAAGATAATTTTAGCAACATACTTTTTACTTAACTTTATCTATGCCATATTTTTGTCGATTGTCGCAGTTGATGTGTATTAGGCATGACATTTTCTAAAATGTTTTTAAATTTAGATGTGTTGATTGTCCAAAATTGAGCCTTAATGAAATGAGAAATATTCGAGCAAGAGTATAATTACTTAACCTTCTTAGTCTTTATCTTTTTTTCTTGTTACAGAAAAGATGAGTGGCTTCGGGAATCACATCTGAACGTAAAATTTCCAGAATTTCAAGCGACCTATTCGACCATATCTCAACCTTGCATTTCTTATGAAACAAGTGATGAGTACGATGTAAATAACAAATCTAATAACACTTTTGATATATCAGCGGAGAGTGACCCAAATAAAACAGATGGGACGTTACCTATACATGAATCTTCTCATCAGTTGTTTAAAAAGTGTATGTCGTTTTTACTTTTAGAATTAAAACAGTTTATTCATATATTGATCATAGCATTGGTATATTTGTTAAATTTCTGTAAGATTGATTTCGTTTTTCTTTATTAACAACTCGGATGATTTACTTTTGTACATTCGATAGTTCATAGGTCTTTTCAAATAAACATAATTGTATATTCATCTTAATCTTAAATTAGGGTTGTTTATTTCTAGACTGTAGCAGCTGCTACTTTGACGTGGTGAGCGGAGTCACATTTCGTGATGACTTAATAAAGTTTTTTTGACTGAAACATTTATTTATTTGGGTCCTACTATGATAGACAGTTGGCTGGAGAACAATCAGACTAAAAGCAACGACTTAAGGTCGAAAGACTACCGTACTCTTGATTGTACTAAGGTGTTCCCCTCCAGCGACCAGCATCTACAACAGTACGCTCTTTCCATAACAGAAAGGGATATCATCTTTCCCTACAAATTTCCAGCATCATCGATAAAACCTTTGAAGTATGGAGCTAAGACATCTAAAATCACTCACTAAAAACCATGCGTAACGAGACTCAAAAAGTTAACCTTTGAGCTCTGCGGTTACGCTTCTAAGCTATCAAGATCACCCCTGATTGAATCTTCTTTCCAGGTTTATGAAGAAGAAGCGTCCCTCTTCAGTGTATGGGGAACTGAGAACTGATAACCGCTTTCATACCTCTAACAACACCAGAGATCACCAACTAACTGTTGGTTTACTACTATTAACCCTATTTCGCTGATGCCAAATATTGTTTCTCTAAGCTGTTGCAATCTAATTATTTGTTGTCAACAGTTCTCGTTATTTCAAACGTTTATTTACATGAGCTAGGTTTCTTACCTAAGGTAATAAGATTCCGCTACATTCATTAACCAGTTTTTTCTACTAACGTTATTTGAATTATAATTAGGATATTAGTATAAGATTTTTTGTCTGCTAATGCCAACCGATTCGGCCTACTAACTTAACATTATCATACTGAAAATATATGGTTTCATCGTATGATAAACATTGATTGTGCCTTGACAGATAATGAACAGAACCTTCCAGCGTGTTGAATTATTTTAGTTTATCACGATAACAATAGACTGTAAAGCGAAAATCAATCGAACAATGAAGTCGTGTGACTCTGGGTAACATCATTATGAAAGCAGGTATTTTAGTCTCTTCACCGTATTTAGTTTTACTCTAATACTGATCAAATACATGCTTTAATTGTTGTTGTACTGTGTCTCAAAGTATAAATATCCGCGCACAATATAACCCATTCGATTACTGCGTTGTTTTTATATAATTCTTTACATCAACTATTGCTTACTTTTATTCGGCACCAGCAAGGAGTAATTTACAGTCCAACTTTCTCGATGAATCCACCTACAAGCCTTCAACGTCATCACTTAAATGTAGTTCAGTTAACGATCCTAAAATGAACTCCCTGAATCTAAAGAAAGGAAACTATTTAAAAGTTGATCATGCAACTTCTAATTCGTTATCACTACCCCGAACAAGACCAGGATGTTATACCTTTCCTAAACAGCGAGAAATTGAAAATAATTTGCAAAATCTAAGTATAAACTCACCAAATAATGTTCTTACCGATGAAATGCGTACAGGTAAGCCAAAAATGTATATTTTTAATGTTGAATTTCTATATCGTTGCTACAGAATGGAGTATTGTTATAATTTGGAAAACTTGGCTTTGGTAATGTTGTTACTGGATAGCCTATTGTTAAATCGGTGTCGTCTGCGTTATGTACTTATCAACTCTGTTGAGTTCACAGTGTAAGTGCTTTAACTTAATAATCGGGAACCACTGTAATCTCCACGATACAAAGTGAGAATAGAAAAGACTGGTTCAATGAAGATAGACTCCCCAGAATACGTCTCCAAACAAGTCTCAAAATCACATTATATTCATTGATATACCAAACTTCACACACACATATTGGTACTACATATAAGGGAAATGTATACAACTGTAAAAACGCAATACATATCGTTCCTGTATTAATACATGGAATAAAATTGTCACACTGAATGAGAGTTCACACTTGTCATATAGAACAAACTTTATACTGAATTGTTACAAAAAATTATTGACCTCAAAATATCACACTGAAAAAAGTTCGTATATGTCACCTTGGGCAATAATGAGTTGATACAAAAAATATTGATCTTAATCATGTCATTTTATTTCGTCATATCAAGTATGATTTTGGTAGTAGCATGTATAGAATTTATGGTTATGTCTTTTAAGTACCAAACCGAAGCCGGCGACCATACCACGTTGAAAGCACCTGTCGTCGTCCGATATATCAAATAATCGTTTCCAAAAGAAAAAACACTTTCAATTCCATCTAGTTCAAAAACACCATTTATAATCTTGTAATTCACATATTGTTATGCAAGTGAGATTGTGACCTATACTTTATCATCATATCTTGAAAAATCAGTCTTTCAAACCCTTTACCTCGCTTTGTTTTTTACTGTTGTTATCAAGAAACTAAATTTATCTGGTTCACAGAACATTGAACATCTTATAGTAATGAAACATAATTGCGTAGTATTTAATGACCTGGATTACTTGATTAGCCTAAATATTTTGGTGGCCCAAGGTCTGACTCCATTTGGATCGTATGATTACTGTTATCTAGTAATTGCTATCTTAATATACATCCCTGTTATCCCCGTTTATAATCATCGACCTAAATCGCGTTAATGAATAACGGAATTAAATAAGTCAAATACCAGAATAAATTTCAAATACGTATATTTCATGCAATCGTTGATCCAGGCAAACAAAGCGAAAGGACGCGCGATGGAGAAGGCGAACGAACTAACTTAATTCAATTAAATGTATGAATCGATATTTATAGTCAGACAAAAATAAGTTACAGACATGTGATGAGTAAGATAAGAAATGCACACATATACGATCATATAAAAGACAGTCAGAATTAATAAGAGAATAAGTGACAGAGTAAAAACGTGGCTTGAGAAAAATGAATAGATTGATCTGTACGGAGGCTAGAATAACCTATGTGGGCCTGACATAGCAACTGACACTACATTATCGTTTACAGCTAGAAACAAATCTCTAATCGTAATCACATAGATTTTGAATAGACAGATTTACCATTCAAATTTATAAACATATATAATACAATTAAAAGCATTATTTTATATACATAATGATCAATTCCGGTATCATGATTGAATTGATTGATAACATAATCAAGAAAATACAAAAAAAGAAAAATAAATATCACAAATTAATTAGTAATCGTTCACTTTTGTTCTTCGTAATAACCCTGCATTAATAATAGCTATGTACAATAGGGGCGGCCAAATCAAAACGTGGCATCAGTGCTTGAAGTCACTAACTTCTAGTCTGAGCCATGTTGGTAGGTGCAGACTACTTGGTTGGGGTCTGCGTGATCATCGTAACCAATGGTTGAAGACTCTAGGCGATATGGCTCAGAATCGATCATAATCGCGCGGGTGTATTCACTCTTTATTTTCCCTTAAACTTTAAGATTAAAATTGCTTCATATCTGTCTTCCTATACTATAGCCTTATATAAAACCTATCTTTTATATACTACCACCACTAAATTAACTACTTCTATGAATTCGGTGTTCATCTTGTTGTGCTAACGAGGTATGACAACTTGGACCGATGCATAAATATGCCTGGTCCTACGTTGTAGTTGACTGACTGACAATAAAACATTGAATACATTATATTCAACTGGGTTTTAATTAGTTTTTAGATTTTCCAAATTTAATAGCTGAAATTCATGTCATCCAATTAACATATATCATAGGGTTCAGCTGTTTCAATTAATGCCATGTTACTTTAAAATTATTGTTCGTCTGTTTAGGTTATTAGCTTAGTTTAATTTTATTTTTCATATTCTGCAAACTATCAATTCTGTCCATCGTTATTAGATATTGTGTCCAGTACAACCGATATGTTGAAAATGAAGGGACTTGATTATTATGAAGGTATTTTAAAAACCCAGCTTCCTGTCACATCATTAGTTTCACATAAACCACCTTCAACACAGTATTCTTTAAAAGATTTATCCAATATACCAGAATCTATACCGTGTACCTTTCAGTCATGTAAGTTTTGTTGACTTTTTTTAATATATGCTTTGTTTTTCTCTATGAGATGCACATTATCCACTCAGTATAATAAAATGATATTCTGTTTGTAAAGGTAAGGTATGTGCAATTTGACATTTTGAATAAAATATTTTGTAAGTAGTCTGTGTAGAAAATACTGACATAGTACTAAGGTGTATTTCATTTTTCCCGTTTGTATTCTCTTATCTACACATAGATTTATGGTAATTAATAACGGCCAATCTATTTATTTGAATAAGTTTTTGATGTTAGCAACAAACGACTTGTAATCAAATAACCCAGAAGATAAATAAAAACTTGTATTAATTTCTTGTAATGACTCAAGTTAAGTGAGTTTGCTACAAATAGTTCTAATTTAATTCACTTGTTAGAATTACGGAAGAGTATTCATGTATTGGCACTTCAATGGATACTTACTACTATTACACATAGGATACAAGTAAAAAAGTTTGTTTTTCGTGTAAGAAAGGATCATACTAGACTGTACGTAATAGAACAAAAATGGGAATATCAAATATAATTTGTATAATACGACACCAATAATAACACTTCTCTTCCAATAGTAAATAAGAATAAACGCTCAAAATGGATATAAAAGTTCTCACCTTATGAAATTGTTTTTTCCTCAGCATCTCTTGGTTTCCCGGGAAATGGCCACTATTTATTTCTTGGATAGATTTTAGTGGCATAATAATAAACTTCTAAAGCGATAATGTATAAATCTGCTTGTTTTTTATTATAAATGTGCATGTAGGAATTTTCTCTCCAACATATTATACTAACTTTTATTATTCCCCATAGATCAATAGACTTTTGTTTTATGTAATCTTATATACCTTTTAGCCTACAATAATTTTCAGTTTATACCTATACATTACCTATACATTGATTTGTGATAGAGTCCTGTTTTCTGCGTTGAGTGGTTTGATCAATTTTCTTTTAGACAGAGTAGACATAAACTTTGAGGCTATCCGGATTTCCTCACTTAAGGCTGACATATTGTCCTGTTGACCTTGTTCGTAATTTGTTGATGTTGACCTTTGTCTTATCACTACTTGCATATTTATTTTGATTATCAGTTTCTAACCTTACAGTTGTTCACAGTTTTTCTGATTTCGGCCAATTATGAATATCATAGACAGTCATGAAGTCAATAACCAGGTTAAAATAAATTTACGAGCAATTGCTGGGCAAGGGTCATCATCAGCCAGTCGAGGCCGAGGTCAACAGGACGTGTTAGTCTTGTGTGAATAAATCCAGATAGCTCATTTCTATCTGAAATTTGTGCTGATTATGTTGTTCAGAAAGATAACGGAAGGTGCTCGATTAAACCACTGAGCTCAAAGAATAAAACCATCAGAGTTATCCACTTAGGCTACATATCTTTTATACTATCTCGAAAATTCTGTTTGTATATAGTCGCTATTGAGAAAGTTGTCTTAAGTATTAAAGAGAGGTTTTACGAGTTGTATTGAATAAAATGTTGTGTGTACATCTGTTCAATTAAACTGAATGAAACGTTCAAAGCGAAGACAGTACATATTTTTTTTCTTAACCGTTTTATCTCTGCTTATCTGAACGCAAATAATTACTTTTTTGTTTCAATGTACTGTGTAAATAATGTTGTAAAGTGTTTTTATAGACATTTTTATGTTTATAATGTTCTGATTTTTTTTAAGAAACCAGAATCGAAACGAGAAACTTGAGAAAAATGTCCAACAGAAAAATTATTATTCTTATTTTATTTAAACACATAAATATTGGTACAAGGAAGGACCAGATACATATGCGCCACACAAATCAAATGAGATTTGTGTGAGGGCTGTGATACTGCCCAGGTGCCCAGACTGAAGCAGGTGGTTTTCTTAGGAGGCCGAACCCTGAGCCTTTGACCTAAAGGTCTGATCCACAAGGCAGTGGAGCATCGTAAGAAGATGCAGTCCCATGGTAACCGGTGACCAACAATAGGTTCATACTCCATTTGTTCCCTCAGGATACTGGAGCCCATGTTCACCATTGGTTTGGTATCAGGGTTTTCCATCTCCCCTAGATGAACATTCCGTGTCCACCAACCCGATTAAAGCGCCAGACATTCGCTTTTCGTCCTCTCAATTTCGCAAACAACAGTAATGTCACGAGAAGGCAGTGAGTAGGACTTCCCTGGCAGAGGCTATATACGCGTGGCCATGTGAGAGCTTTATTCTTATTACCATTATTATTATTATTATTATTGCAGAATTATGATTCCCATTTTATATGTCTATAAGTTTGATTTATTTCTTTGCCTTTTTTTCCATTAAATATATATTAGTATCTTCTATTATGGAATTAAAAGAATCTCAATTGTGTACTCCGACAAACAGCAGCTTCAATTTAATTGGTAAGTTGTACCATTTTTAATGGCCAGTGTGATTAACTCTTCACTTATAACTAGTCAAACTATTTCCTGCCTACAACAATATTGAAAATGCTACTTTTTCTTTGGTGAAATAGTTAAAAGATCAACTAAGTGTAGAAGATAAGTCAGTGTTTGTATAATTACTTTAGAAACATTCGAAAATGTCAACTATTAGGTCGTGGGTTCCAACCCGTCCCGTTTACCAAATTTTGTATGCTAACCGTCACATTAGGTTCACTTAAATGGCTCAGTGGAATTCGATTAAAGTAGGAAAAGTGTTGGCTCTTCGAAATATTTATATGTGAATAATGAATGATCATATGGTGAATAATAATTAGCTTCGATCAAAACTTACATTCAAAGTAATAAAGTCGGTAACAGCACGAGTGCAAGAATGACTAGTGAAATATGGCAGAATAGATTAAGAGAACGCATCAACAAATAAGTTAACAGTTATTTTATGATAGATTAATGAAATACAAAAAGGAGATTATGCAATAGAAATTCTATTACTCATGTGTAGTGCGTTTTTATAGCGAATCTCCCAAATGATGCGTAGTTCTTCAGTTCAGTCAATCAGAGCTGATTTTATTTCAGAGAAGATGTATGTCCTAATAAATGAAGGTATTGCCGAAACACTAATGTTCTTCTGTTATCATTTATATTTTCTTAATGAAGAAAACTATACAAATAATTGTGGATTTTTGTTTTCTGAGCTAGATGGTTTGGTCGTGCAGCTTTCATCGTTTTTCCGAACGACGTCATCAGTACAAACTTCAGGTAGAAGTGAATTGACCTTTAAAGGTCAACAATAACCAATCAACATCGAGGTCTGCAGGACAGGCTGTGAGCCATATGTGAAGAAATTTGGACACCTGACTTCTTCCTGAAGTTTGTGCTGATGATGTCGTTCAGAATAACGATGAAAGCTCCACGACCAAACCATCGAGCTCAGAGAACAAAATCATCCACTTGAGCTACAAATCTTTACCATCTCGCCATACAAATATGATAGATAAATGTGTATTTATATTTTCCCTATAATCATATTTAAATCAGTCAGTTCGTAAAATTAATCTTGACAAGAAAAGCTAGTTTTGTTAGTTTGCGCAATCATCAATTTTTGATCTATTTTTTCTAGTAAGTATTATTGTTATTTTCTTCGACTAGATGATGATCTGGAATTCGTCAATGATCTGCTCCCATCGTCTCCAAACTGACGACAATGATGTTTCTTCCATCTTCATGTGTTGTAGTTATTCATTTAGTTTGCCTGTTGATGTGTGACTTTCTTCCATATAAATGGTGATAATAATGATAGTTAAGAAAAAAATATTATCACGATTTACTATTTTCTTTATGTATTACATGTGAAATGAAAATTGAATGATGTCTATTACCAGAAATCTTTGTATTTATCAGAAGCGTCAGTTAACAAATTATATTCTGTCCGACTTCATTGTAAATTCTGAGTTTTTTGAAACATTCAGTTTTATTTTTTTAGATGAGGCTGTCTGGTAATACCATCCTTTTTCTCCTGTTTTGCTGTGTTTGGTTTTTCCAAGTATGTTTGAAATAAATAGATGTTGGCGATGCAAATCTTTTACCTCTCTACATTTGGAATATGACGTCATTATGTTATGATATACAGGCTAATGATGTCATAATCAGTGACAATATAAATGGTTTATGCTGTTGATCTATAGATTTATACAGTCGTGTATCTTTATTTGTTATTAGTATTGATCTGTTCAAAAGATAGTTAGACAAAAATATGTGGGACCGTTAGTATGAATATGAGGCTTCAATACTGGCACTTCTGTTTTTCATTTTTCTCGAGTTGAGTTTTCATTGCGTTCTTCACAAAATTAATCACATTGGGTCACGAAACAAAATGGGTATTACTGTAGCCTAACAGCTTATTTGGATATTCACTGTGTACTATTTACCAACTCTCATTTTGAAATCATGAAGTGATCGATATTAAACCACCACTGGACAGCCATCTCGTTGTAGTATGTAAGACACACAATGTCGTAGATCTATTGAAGCTACACATTAACGCCGTTGGATGCCGACTTGGTGGTTCAGATTTTAAGAGTTCGAGTGCGAGATCGAACGTTCTCGGTCCGATTTCCATGTAATTAGTCGTGGATGTGCTTAGCTGAGTCCTATACTGAAATGAAACCGCCGTCCACTGTTTCCTGGTTCTCACTGATGATCTAACATTGGTCAATCTATTATTTTAATCAAAATCGACAATCCTCACAGCCTTATACTGACAACATTCATTTTTTATGTTTGTCAAATGAAAAGTATTAGTTGATCAGTAACTATTAGTTTATATGACGGAATCGTGTTTTAAACTTTAATATTATGTCATTAAAAAAATGCATAAATCAGGTGAAAATCCACAAGTAGGAGTATATTTGATTCCATTATAATGTATAAGATGAGAGCATGTTAAACAGCTTTAGTAGTCACATGGTTAATATCCTTGTAAAGCTTAACTTTACAAATTACCATGGATTTGAACTACTTAGTTTTCCTTTCCTTATCAACCTAATAGTTGTTCGGTAATCACGATATTGTTCATATTATTTATAAATTCAAATGTTTTCCTTTTTTTAGTTTGTCACTAGTTTATTCACGCTAGTTTTCTAGGCTTAAATAATTTGGTTTGTACAATCAAGTTTCTATCTTAATTTAACTTCTACTGTTGCAAAAAAGAAATTTTATACATGAAAATCACCATGTGTAACATTCTTTTAATACATATTTTAAAGTTAAACTACTCATATTCAGAATCTTTCTAATGTTCACTTCGATATATACCGAAAAATAAGGATGTAACATGGAAATTAGTGGGAGAGGTATTCATATTTCAAAACAATATCAACACCCACCAAGCCAAATATGTTTGACTATATACCTTGTAACTAGTAATCATAGCTTTTTACGTACACACATTTGTAATACTTACATAGTTGACGTTTATACGGTTACTGTGAGATCCGTATTACTGTACTTCTCATATAAATAATCCTTTTGATAAACTCCTTCAGTGCACCAACAATGAACGTTTTGTTTGCTCTAAATATTACATATATGATCATAGTTTGCTTAATAATCATAAATATTATCATAATCATATCCGGTTCCTGTAGGAATAGAATGACGAAAAGAACTGTTAATGTAACCAAGAACGGGGAACATCTGTGAATTGTTGTCATAGTAGAATAGACACATGATTGAGATTGTTTAGTAATCCAAAAAGCAACCATCAAGTATATTTAGTGATGCTGATAATAATGCTCATAATCACTCAAGTGGATTTGAGAAGAAATAAAAATGCGTGTAAGGGTTGAAAAGGCTTTTGAAATATTCATATGATCAAGTACTAATGGTTTCATGACTAAAATAGGCTTGAAAGCATGGAGAAACTGGACAAATAATGTGTTAATTAAACTAAGATATTGCAAAGAATGTGGGAGCGAAACGAACGGAATAATGGAAATGGTCACAAATTACAGTCGGGTTAATTACAAACACTTATGGCGAGTATGCAGAGTTGATTGTAAGTTATCGATTAAGAGGTGGGGTTTGGAGCGGCTTAGTGATAACCTGAAGCATTAGATAGTTCAGGGCCGTATTGCATATATATGTTTAGGATTTTTCTCAGGAGCAGCCTTTTCTGCTTACGTATGTTACAACAATCACAGGTTAAGGGGTGAAAACCGCTGAAGGTAACTAATAGATGACTTTATAGTAAAGTTTTACTTAAACCAGAGGTCGATGAAATACTCATTTAGATGATTAGGTATATGTTTCTATCTTTGTATTTAAATTGTTTGCAATTCAACACCGTTCTTATATGACTATTTTGAATTAAATCTAGCTATCCTCATTTAATGAACTTATGAAACAACTGAATAACGACAACTGTACCGGCTACCTCCATAGTTTTTCTGTACAACCACCTGGGGACCCTTGATGTCTTCAATATGTTTAACTATTTATTTTAACTTAATGTTCTTGAGGTGGCGAATATTTAGCATAAGATTTCCTTTTTATTCAAGTCCTGTATAAACTTCATAAATTTATCTCATTGTTTTATAATTATATTTCCAATCCCTAATTAAACAATAGTAAGTAGGGTAGTTGGGTGTGTTGACGATTCGATGTAAATTGGAAATCTTGTTTGACTCGGTGAGTTGATAGACAGGAAAATCTCAAAACACGGACGTATAGTTTTTCTAGACTAACTGTTTCGCAAATGAGACTACCATCCATAAAAGCAGGAATCATACGAAGGTTACGAATATTTGATCATAGACGCTCCAACTATGGTGAGAACACAGTAATACTGACGTCACGTTTATGGTTTTCAGTAGAACTAGTCGCCTGGTTATTGATTCTGAATCCTTATCAACGTATTTGATTAAGAAATATGCCTAATATTTTACAAACTGAAATCAGACAGAACATTTACACTTCGTATAAATTATATCGCTTTTTTTACAACATAGACAATAAACTTAGTAATTGAATATCTTGTATTAAATCACTACAGAAAGTCTGACAGTATAGGATTCATGTGACGTAGGATTTTGAATACAATATTTTATTCTTTTATTAGTGTTAATCAAATTTAAAGCATTCGACAAAGCACTTAAACTGATAAAACCCAATCCAATTCCACGACCTATTGACTGACCATAACCACCATCTTGAACATAGCCAATTAGAAGACAATGAGAAGGCTGAAAAGATTTCTTACCATTTGCTGAATTAATCACAAGATTACTGTTACCCTTTCTTGAATTTCCTTTGGAAGATTCATTAGGATAGAATGCATAAATACGTGCATATGCTTGTGGTACACCTCGGTGTTCAGTTTTCAGATAAACCTTGAATACAAATAATAAACAAAAATAATTTAAGAGATCTTGTTGACGAGTAAACAGAAAGCAGAAGACTGTTTTAAAGTCTTATAGTTATTCAGTTGTCTAACAGGAGCTCTAAAAAATATTCTTTTAAAATGGATTCTGAAATAAATTTTATGTTTCGAACGAACTGGTCTGTTTGAAAATGTCAACAGCAGTTTCGATTTTGTACATAGCTCCTTCCGAGCTGTATGATTTATGAGGAATAAGTTTGACAACTTAACGTTCTTATGTGCTACGTAATAATTATTGCGTAGAAATATGTATGTTCACAGTACGTCATCGTCGGACTTGAGTGAAATACTTTAAATACAGTGCTAAGTTTTTGCATGTCTGTCCTAAAATTTAGTAGAGAAATGATCAGTCTGTATTAGTTTTTGGGTCGACGTCTGTATTTGTCAGATTAAACTGTATCTCTCTTTACATCTAAAGTTCGTACATGCGAAAATAAACCTCTGCAGAGCAGTATGTCAGTAGAGGAACACCATATATTCACCAAGCTAAAATGGAACCCCCCCCCTCAAATAAAGTGTATTCCTGCTAAGATTTACCTAAAGTCCTCAAGATTAAAGTTAGTAACTAAGATGACAAACGAATAGACAGCTTTATGCAAAAAAAGCTTTAGGCGGGACTTCTTTTTTATCTGAGATACTATCAAGCGACGTTAAAAAAAGATATGTCAATACTTCTGATATTATTAAAACCAAAAACCGATCTATGTAAGACAACCACGATGCACTCAACGGATGTTTCACCATAGTATGGCGTTCCTCAGCTGTGCTAATCCACTACTCCGGATCTGGGGATCGGACCCAAGCATATCAGTCTTGTGCGCGAATACTTAACCTCTAGACCATTGAGCCAGGATCTAATTTCGATCAGTCCATAATAATGAGCGACTATCTTCCACTATATCTTATTTTCCACGAGGTTCATACAACGAAACAGCCAACGGATTATTGCGTACAAATGATATACAAATACGTTATAAATCCCATAAAGAGAAGAACTAGTCTGTCCTATGAAAAAGAGGGAACGATTATGCATCAGCAAAAACCTCCGTTACTAGTATGCACGTACTAGTCCTAAGCGCGCAAAGACCAACGGAGTTCCCACGATTCCCTCACGAAAACGTATACATATGGCGGGTGTATTTGCCTCAAAATGATAATTTATCAACCAGAAAAGGCAATCGGCTTCACTAATAAAAGCATAATCAACTTCAATGGGGCTGATAAGTCAAGAAACAATATCTAAGTTGAAGAATCTGATAAAGTGTGAATGTAATAAACTTTTTTCTCCAAAGTACTTAATAAACTATCTGATACATCCTATGAAGCAATTTAATATGCAGAAACTCATAGTTGCATCATCCGTAACTCTGTCATTCGTGAAACAATATCATTCTACATCTCTCCATACGAATTAATTTTTCAGCAAATTTTCCAGACTCTGGAATAATTCACCACAATCTGTTCGTCAGATTAAATCAACCCTATTCTTTTGTTCGCTCGATCGATGCTTAATTCTCCTCTGAAAATGCGTTAAATACTACTTCAGTGAGATTGCAGAAACCTTAAATGCCTAACTGTTTTTATTACTGAGTCTAGTAAGCAAACTTCCCTAACTGCTGATTTCTTTACACCG